TAAACTTAGTTGAAAAGCCCTGCAATGGACTATAACCTGTTTAACTCGGATATTAATCGTGGACTGTATACACACGTGTGAGTGTGTGTGTGTGTGTGTGTTTGTGACGCTATGTTGTTGAAAAGGACAACAGCAAAAAAAAAAAAAAAGGAAGGAAGGGGAAATGGGCTTGAGTGTTAATCTCTTCCAACTTACACTGTGTTATGCATTCATTATCCCATGACTTGAATTTTTGTATCTGAGTATCCAAGGGTAAGAGAGGTCATTGTTGCAGCCAACGAAGGGAAAACCCAACGGCTATGACTGCAACAAGCTTGTTAATTCAGTGAACAAATACAAAATGTATGCACCAGAGACAACGGGTTGCAGTAAAAAAGAGACGAAAGCCAAGCTTAACGTCACGATATGTATAAAATAAGCCTGGATAAGTCTCAAGTGGTATCTAAGTTTTCAAATCTGTCACAGTTAGATAGGAGGATTAACAACACACTTACAGTAGAAAAAATAAAAGAACCAGATTGATAGATAGATGGACTTACAGGTACATGTGCTCCCCGTGTGGGTTCTAGGGACCTATTGTGAGGAAAACAAGCATGTCGTAGAAGTCGACTAATTATGGACATCCTTTAAAGTCGGAGTACATTTGCCTGAGAGGCAAGGGATCACAAGTCTGCACACAAATAAGCCAGATCTGTGAAACGGATGTGCACGCCACACTCAGTAAAGTCCGAAAGTGAACGAACAGACAGAGCTTTCCGCAGGAGTTTACAGCCGGTGAGTGCGAAAAAGAAGCAGAAGATGAAGAAGAAGAAGAAGAAGAAGAAGAAGAAGAAGAAGAAGAAGAAGAAGAAGAAGAAGAAGAAGAAGAAGAAGAAGAAGAAGAAGAAGAAGAAGAAGAAGAAGAAGAAGAAGAAGAAGAAAAAGAAGAAGAAGAAGGAGAAGAAGAAGAAGAAGAAGAAGAAGAAGAAGAAGAAGAAGAAGAAGAAGAAGAAGAAGAAGAAGAAGAAGAAGAAGAAGAAGAAGAAGAAGAAGAAGAAGAAGAAGAAGAAAAAGAAGAAGAAAGAAAAATGTGCGAAATAGTGTCACACTAGATCAGTAGTTTTTAGCCTTTTTTTTAGGTAGCAGCCCCTTGAACATATATATATATATACATTCAAGGGGCTGCTACCTAAAAAAAAAAAAAAACGAAGCGCGTTCGCAAAACCTAAGCCACACACGTCGATGGCCTCTTATTTACTCTAAGGGAAAAGCTGGGGGTGGGGTAGGGGGGGGGGGAGGGGAGTCATTGGGGCGGAGTATCAGGGAGCCTGAGCCCCTATGATCCAGCGCCTATGGACAGTCTGAATGACATACCCATAAAGAAAAAGAAAAGACCAATTTACTGAACAGAGAAACAGACTGCTCGAAGCAATTACGAGCATATAACTCTTCTTCTTCTTCGCGTTCACTGGCTAAAAACACCGGCGGAAAGTTCTGGTTGTTCATCCACTTCTGGACTAATGAAACTGAATGTTGCGTTCACACCAGTTTCACAGGTCTAACTAATTTGTAAGCAGACTGTTGGTTCCCTGCCCCTCAGGCAGATGTACTCCGACTTTAAAGGCATCTCCTAATAAGTCGACTCTTACGACATGCTTTTGGCCAGGCAGTGGGTCTATTCTTGTTTTCCTCCACAATAAGGCCGCAAGAGCCCACACAGGGAGAACTTTGACATAAACTTTTATAGGATTGTTGATTGCTGACAGGGACGAACAACTGAAAGCAGAAAGATCGACTCACGAAAGAATCCAAAGACTGGGTAAAATATTTAGATAGACATTTTATAGACAGGGAGATGGACAGAAAGACGAATACAATAAAACTATACGAGCTGGTCGCACACATAAACGTCAGCGTCTGTGGCTTAGGCGTTACTGACGCTCTTCGTAATTCCAAGGTGCCGGGTTCGATCCAAGCTACGGGCGATTTAGCAGCAGACCGTCTTGCGTTGTTTCGACAGTGATATCTAGAGCCGACGTTCAGTAAGCAGTGGCAAACTACTGAACGTAACAATGGCCAAGTAAAATTGGACACAGTCAAAACATGCTGGGCTTGATTCTGCAACGTCCTGTACAAGACTCAGAGAGACAGACAGGCAGGTGTACGGCGTATACAGCAGCAGCAGCAGCAGCAGCAAGAAGAAGAAGCAATTGCAAGCAAGTTGAAGCAAGACGAAGCAATAAAAAGCAAGAAGCAACAAGTAAGAAGAAGCAAGAAAAAGATTTAAAGTTTGAGGTTTGAACAACGGATCAACATCATTGCACACAGGTAGTAACCCATAAGTGCTCCGTTCTTCTTCTAACTTGAGTCTGAGTCCGAAGAATCTCAGCATAGTGTACAGGCTCTCTAGCACCGGCAAGGATCCTGAAATTCTTTGGGTAGATTTTTAAAGTCCAAATTTTGCCCGGGCAGCGCCGTTAGGCAACTCTTTTCGATTTCCAGCTGCCAGGGGATTTGTTACGTGCGCAGCGATGCCCACGGGCGTCCGATTTCACTACCGAGAGACCTGGGGAAATTTCTAAAAGTCCACGTGAAAAAACCCAACCATTACCAGGGATCGAACCCAGAACCTCTAGCACTCTAGGCGGACATCATGCCTCGAGACCACGCAGTCTCCCTAAACAAGAAGAAAAAGAAGAAGAAGAAGAAGCAGAAGAAGAAGAAGAAGAAGAAGAAGAAGAAGAAGAAGAAGAAGAAGAAGAAGAAGAAGAAGAAGAAGAAGAAGAAGAAGAAGAAGAAGAAGAAGAAGAAGAAGAAGAAGAAGAAGAAGAAGAAGAAGAAGAAGAAGAAGAAGAAGAAGAAGAAGCAAGAGGGGGAAGACGAAGGAGTAGGAGGAGGAAGAAGAAAAACAACGGAGAGAAAGAGAACAAGCAAACATAAAGACCATTAATTGACTGTCTTCTAAACGTAGCCGTACTTTACGAGGCATAATTAAGTACATAACCAACAGAGACAGACCTTAGCGCAACAACAGCCTGGAAATCTGAGAAACGAAATTGAAATCTCTATCCGTGTTGTGTGTGGAACAGAAACCGCTGAACTCTGAACCCTTTGATGTGCGGCTGTGTAATGTCAATTATTGATACGGTTGTTTGTATTCTCCTTACAGGTAGACAGCCCAGAGAAGAGTGCTGGTTTTGCTGCTGACGATGGTGAACTGAAAGTACAAAACAACAAGTTGGAACACGCAGGCATCAATCATGCAGACTAATTCAGCATTCACATAACTGTAGAGGGTCTGCGCGTTATGACTTCAAGTAGTCCTCACAGTGGCCTTGCTCTAAAAAAAAAAAAAAAACATCAGTGTAATTATTAGTTAGATCTTCTGGCTGCCCAAGTATCGGTTCTAATTTTTGATCTAGCAGCGCTTGTGCTCTGGCATTTTGAAACCAGTATATTAGCATGACTGTGATAAGTTTATGAGAGCACACTGATAGAAGGGGAGTGGCCAGACAAGAGTACTTTACAGGAAGCCAGAGAAGAATAAAAAACTAACCCAGAACTGATGTCGTCAGTCGATACACGCTGCGGAATTTACTGGTGAAGAGATCTGAGCAGATTTGGACTAACTGGTTCGATTTGCAATGAGGATAATCTGTCGACGAATTAACTAACTAGATAACTATTATAAGTTTTTTTTAGTTGTTCTTTTGTTTGGTGTAACATAATTTATCAAACAAACGTATATACGTAGTATCTGAAATTACATCGACTCTAGATATAGACCAGACGGGTTGTACAAGATTTCGCCGATTCCATTACTACTCATACTTCTGTTTAGTAGAAATCGATTGATTGTGTGTTCCCAGTGACGTTTCTTAGACCAATACGTGCTGAAACATCAAAATATTTCTCTAATGGAGTCTTATGGTTGACAATTTAAATAATGACAACAACAAAAATATTGTGCACAGTTTATTGCCAGGCATATTTCGCTGCATCTCGTCAGGTGCAATACCGAAGATTTCACGTTAACATGTGACGAATAACACAACATGAAACCTTTTAACTGACATACGCAGACCAATTTTGCTCCAATTATGTGGTAAATTTTACCAGCGGAAGCCTAAGCGCGCTATCTTCGAGGAAGTCTAAAGTTAATGACGGGATCCTTTTGTTTACATAATGCGGATTTTGCACGACTTTATTTTACACTTAACAGGATGTGATTATTGGATTCAAAGCCAGAGCATGGCCAGGAATAGGGTGGATACGCTTTTGCTTACAACATAATTTAAAACAAACGTAGCCCAGATGGCATATCTGGTTCGAGATCTGAATATGTTTTACATCCCCAACTTTAACAGCAAATTGAGACCAACGAGCAGTGTCTTTGTTGGAATAGCAAATAACAACATAGGTAGACAGGTGTATAATGAAAAGATATTTAAAATTCAGGTGTACGAATTTATACATTATTAAACATACCTGTAATTATATTTGAGCGGTAGTCAGCTGTATACAACTCTGTTGATACGGGACTAAATATTGTATTATGTTATAATCACAGCTAAGCTGACTTAAGTACAGACATCTCTGCCATGAGCAGCCCATTCCGCCATCATTATCAGCCAGCGCATATTGCCAGCACTAGACTGGTGCCTGTTGTAGAAATGATGTTATGTTGTTCTTGCTTTAACTCTGATCGTTGAGCGTTGGCCAGAAGATCTTGTCATTTTCCGTTTGAATATATTAGCACCATAAGCTAGTCCATAATCTTGACATCTACATTTACTGACAATGTTAAATGATATAAAAGAGCTATATAATGTTATCGTAAATGTATATAAATAAAATTGTAATTCACGTCTGACTGTGATGATACATGCAACTGATCGCCTTTATTAACTTTGGTACCAGATGGTGTTTAAATCAGTAACAAATAGAATAAACTACTGTGGGGTGCGTTCTTTGGTAACCAAAGAGTGAATCAGCATAAATTATACATGCAATTCTGAGACATGGAGAGCTCTACAACTTTAACGACCTCGCTTACCAGCGACAGTGAAAACAGCAGTGTTGACAATTTCACTATAAACCTGACACCATCTGCAGCTTCCGTCCTGTTCCTGTCGTCTGAGATGCGAAGCAACACAGTCTTGGTTTCGTGCCTGATGTTCTCTGCCGGCGTAATAGGAAACCTGTTGGCTTTGCTCTTAATGGCCACTTCTCCAGCGGAGCAGAAAAGAACAATTTTCTACAAACTGATGGCCGGTCTGGCATTTACTGATCTCGTCGGTACATGCGCAACGTCACCAGTAGTCATTACAATATACTCCACTGGATTGAAGATGGAGAAGGAGATGCCACTTTGTCACTACTTTTCGTTTATGATGATCTTTGCGGGATTCGCGACCATGTCTCTAGTCTGTGCTATGGCCATTGAAAGATACATTTGTTTATGTCACCCATACATTTACCACTGTAAACTGCCAAAATCGTACGCTAAATACGCAATTATGTCGTGCTGGTTGATGTCTATTATAATAGCAACGTTGCCCCTCATTGGGCTTGGTCACAATGCTGTCCAGTATCCAAGAACATGGTGTTTCTTTAACGCTACCAGCAGGGAAGCCCAGGATGTGGCTTTCAACTTAATTTACGCTACTATCGCGCTCATGGCTATTCTGGCAACATTGATCTGCAATGTGGCCACTATTGTTTCTGTGCTGGCACTAAGGAGACGTCAGAACGCTCTCAGCGCCTCCCAGGATCCGGTGATGAGAAGGTACCGAAGTCCGGCTCAGCGGTATGCGGAACTTCACATGGTGGTGATGCTTGTGGGAGTTACCATCGTGTTTACGGTCTGCTTCGGCCCACTTATGGTAAGTTATGGAATGTGCGTCAGGTTATGTTTTAGGATACTTTTCGCTCCAGTGGCGCATTCAACATAATATAAGGTTAGTTGCGTATCCTTTACAGGACGTTGCAGAACCAATCCAAACAGCCCCTGGCTGTTGTGTGGTTTCTTTAGGCAAATTTACGTCCAGTATTTTGCCATTGCTTGCTGGACGTTCGGCTTTCTTGATACCACTGTCGAAACCAAAGCAAGGCGCATTGCCCACAGCTGGGATCGAACCCGGCATCCCAGAATTACGAAGCATTCGCATCGACTTAGCCACAAAACCGACGAGCATAATAGGCTAGCCTCATATTGTTATGGACCAAACGATCTTTGATGGGTGATGTAATCAACATCATGCTGGCGATCTTTACTTCCCAGGTACTTTTTTTAAAACTGGGCCTACCTGGTAGCCAAGATCACGTTTGAAACAATTCCGATTCCATGCGGATTTGAACTCAAGACCTCAATGTCATAGCCTGAGGTAATAGCCGCTATGCCACTGTGGCTAGCGTGTATATTAAATACTTTGCAAACACGCATTTTGGAGTTTAACAGATTTTGTTCGTTCATGAATGCCTGTCCAAGAGTGATATTTTAGATGGCTGATTGGACCAATGCAGTTTATCAGTCAGGTGGCGTCTCCGCAATAAAGGTTGGCTGTAACAGATCTTCCTCCCACTCTGTCTCTCGCCTTTGTTGCATACGCTCCCAGACTGCTAATCGTTCATCTCTTGATGTTATCCTACCAGTGGTATCGCTGCATATCTCTTGTTCGCCTGCTTTGAACTTTTCCCTCCAGTATGGTTTTTATATGGTCTTTTAATGCTGGCCGAGGCCCAACTCTCAGGGGAAAGGCAAGACAGATATACAAACTGTTACTGGTACCATCGGAATTGGAACTCTGCGCTTGCTGCTGAAGATGGGGATAGCGCGCTTATAGAAATGTCCCGAGTGCTGTGATGTGGATTCCTAATTTAAAATTTGTCTTCTCTACCAGCCCCTCGTCTCTAACAGTCTTCTTTAGCAGGCCACCCATGATAACAGTATGCTACCCTTTTCGATTTCCAACTGCCAAAGCATCTTTTACGTGTGCAACAATACACACGGGCGTCTGATCTTACCACCCACAGACCAGAAAAAATTACTGAAGTCCACGTGAAAATAAATCCTAGCCTTGACCAGGGTTTGAATCCGGGACCTCCAGCACTCGAGGCGGACGCCATGCCTCCAGACATCTTGCTGTTTTTGCTGGGAAACGCTGTGGTGTAGCGGCTAGACGTTCGCCTGCGAATCAGAAGGCTGTGGGTGCAAATCCGAAAAGTTAGAACGTTTCTAAAACAAATGATCACTGATTTCAGATCGACCCAGTCTCAAAGGGGTACCAGGTAAATCCCTGGGAGGTATATGCTGCCGGCGTGATGTTGACCACATCCCTCTCCCCCCCCCCCCCAGTTGTTATTGATCCGGCGGCGCATGAGCTTTCGCCCTTTGGCCCAATGCCATGTAGTGGAATTTACATGTTTTCACAAGCTGTTCTTTTCCTCCGTACAAGGTGTTCCACTTGTCTGGTCTCGGAGGGACTAGCATTATTTTAGTCTCACTGAGTTTTGGGTACTCAAAGAGATGGTGTTCAACAGTTCCGTAGGGTTAATTACATAGCTGGCACTCTGGGGAGTGTTGTGGCTGCATTCTGTTTAGGTGTCCATTAAGTGGAGTATGTTTTGTTTTGAGTCTGAAGATGGTGGCCCGGTCCATTCTTGTTAAATGGTTAATGCTGTCGTTAGGATCAGGGCTAGCCATGTGTCCATAAACCTCTCTTCCAGTGTCTCCTATTTGGTCTATAGAATATAGTTCTAGTGTTACTTGTGTTGTTTTTCCAGCTGCATTTATTGCTACTGCTGCATTTGATGCTACTGCTATTGTGGTAATTATTGTTGTTGCTATTTTGTTGCTGATGTTACTATTTTTGGGGAGCTATTTTTGAGATATTTTTGATTTTGACGATAACATTTGTGCTCGCTTAGCTATTTTTGTTGATGTTACTATCCACGTTGATAGTGTTATTTTCTTTGTTGACGTTGCTACTTTTGTTGTTAGTATTACTATTGTTTTACAGTTGTTGCTACTTTAGTTGTTGATGTTACCATCTATGTTACTGATATTGATATTTTTGTTGATGTTGCTACTTTTTTGTTGATGATGTTACCATATCTGGGGAAATTGCTAGTAATACTATTGTTTTGCTGATGTTGCTACTGTTGTTGTTGGAGTTACTTCTTGTGGTGTCGAATTTACCATTGCTGTTGTTCTTGTTGTTGGTGCTAATGTTGTTGCTGCGGCCTTTGTTGTTGATAACGATGACTGAACGCCATTGAACTGTCACAGTTTAGGGCGGGGGCGGGGGGGGGGGGGCAGGTCGCTGGACACTCACATGTACCAACACGTCAATTTATTCATACGTATAGTTTTTTTTTTTTTTTGGGGGGGGGGGGGGGTATATTGGTGAAGGTGCTGAACCGCAGCGTTTATTTTTTGTTTACTCGTTGTCCATGTGTTCTTGTAAAAGCTTCGTGTTCCACCGTCTGTTTTTTTTTTTTTTACTTTGAATGCACTTGTCACTTTTTATTACACCACCTGTAGATGATGAATCTTCTTCGCATTTAACATAGTTCTTCTCCCATGTGGGAGAAAACAGAACGGCCATGTGCAAACGCTAACCTATTTCTGAATGTGGGTCAAGTAAGTTAGTAAATGGAACAAACATAGGGCGCCTTTTTTATTACTATTTTTATTATGATTATCATTATTATTTTGTTTTAAGACCTGGGGAGTGGGGGGGGGGAGGGGGGGGGGGGGTTAACACCATTGTAACTTGTTAACATTACTACCGGACGTTCAACTGTAGCGATATATATATATATATATATATATATATATATAATATATATATATATATATATATATATATATATATATATATATATGTGTGTGTGTGTGTGTGTGTGTGTGTGTGTATGTGTGCGTGTGTGTGTGCGGTGCATATCTGGTTATATTTGTTTAAATCTGATTTTGTAAAAACTTATGTATTCGTTTTTGTTTGTCTTATGTTTATGCAAATACAAATGCTTGACCGTGACTAATGAATCGATGGGGCCCGGCTCGCTAGTTGGCTCAACCGGATTGCGCGGTGACCGGGTGACGAACTCCTTGTGGTCCGGGTTCACGCCCGGGAGTAGGCAGAAAAGCCACATTTCTCCCAGATTTACGGTATTTATCATAGAATCAAGGCCGAAGGGTTGCGATATCCATAATACCGAGCATAAGGGTTATTGCAAAAAGGCTGATGTTGTGTCTTGTTGTTAGGTGCCGGTGGCTTAGTAGGGGGTCAAAGTATGGTCCGATTTCTGTTTTAGTGATAGGTCCATAAAATGTGGATTGTCTCCTCATGTAATAAACCAGTTGTCATTGTGGGTTAATTTATTTATTTATTTCCTTCTTTTTTCATTTCTTTATTTTCCATCTTCTTTATTTTCACTACCAGTAGACTCCGGCAGAAAGTCCAGGCTGTTTGTCCACCTCTGGACGTTGATCATGTTCCAGCACTTCGGTTTTGTGTGAACATCAGTTTTTAAAATCCGGCTTATTTGTATACAAGCTGTAGGTTTCTCTCAGGCAAATGCACGGACTTAAAAAGTAACTTCTAACCTTCTAATGTTGCCAAGCCCGCCTCCTTCCTTTTTAGGATACCCGAGGAGAGATGTAGATAAATTTCCACCATCATCGGCCCTGTTCCCCTTGTACCAACACACAAGGTTTAGCAAATCTGTATGTCTCTTTTCTTTCAATACATTTCTTTATATGCCTAAGCTATTCTCATCATTCCTCTTTAAAAGTCTCGCTAATCTGCAGCTTGTCCAGTCTACTGTAACTTGTTATTGTAACATCATCATAGACAGTAGAGAATGGTCAACTGCCAGTGACCAAGGTTCTGGCCAACACTCAACGGAAAATTGACGGACATACAATCAGTTTGCTTCTGGTGCCATCATAACTGGAACTATGCTCTTGCCGCTGAAGATGGGGAAGGAACGCTTATGGGAATGCCCGAGTGCTGGCATGTAGGTTTTTAACAACTCAGCTCAAGTTTGTTAATTTAAGCATTAATGTGTATTTTAATTTTTAGTGACAATTAATTCTTTGGTTTTTTTTTTTTTTTTTTTATTTCCTCAGATTTTCACTATCCTGTGTCAAACATCACTAATCAAGTTCATTGACATCAATCAAATTTCGTTACTCATGATCCGACTCGCATCATTCAACCCTATCCTCGATCCGTGGGTGTATCTTCTAGTCCGGCGGGAACTCAGATGGAAGATCATTTGTCTCTTCAAATACATCTTTGGAATGAGTAAACCTCCAGTTTTGACTACACCTGTAATTGGTAATGACTCTCCTGTGTTTTCTCACAGGATGCAGAGACCAGTCAATGAGATGTCGTGTTTATCGTTTTGTTTTCATTGTCTGTGTGATCCACCAACACAGAGATCATCCGCTTCTCTTGGCCATGCAAGCACTGCGCGTTTTGGACTCGCCAAGTGCTCGCCTTCCTATGTCAGAAGGATAGCGTCCGTTGAATCTGTGCTCAACGGTGCCAGCAAGACCTGTGTTATTTCGCCATCGTCGCCATCGGAAGAATTTCTTCTGCAGAAATTTTGCCAGTTTAAGACAGACATAGCCACGTATGCAATAAATGGCTCGCCTCATTCGCAGCTGAGGACGTAATTTGAGATATAGACAAATATCTTTTATAGTTTGTATGTAAAGTAAAGATCGCTTTTCACGCTATTAGGCGTATCGGGTATATAGGAAGAGGACCCATGTTTTTACAGACAATTAGCACTAGGTGGGTAATGTGGTCAGCATTTTGCCAGCCGTCTTTACTTCCCCAGGACAGCCATTCTGGTACCCATTTTAGGCTGGGTCGACATGCGACGCCCCAAACCATGATAAAAATCCACGCAGCCAGCAATTGGTTTCGATCGCGGTGCGTTGGAATTACGAGTCGTACTCGCAATGCCTCAGTGACGGACCCCGCATAGTTTATATGCGAATCAGTAAATAAGTCCGGTTGTAGCAATGTAGTAGCTAAACGCTTTTTGTCGACTAGATGGTCCGGTATTTGAATCCTCATTTGTATAAATGACCATTGTTCTCAGTACCACCCAGCCTAAATTGAACCACATCTGGTTATATTTGTATCTGGTCCTGTATTTGAAACCTCATTTGAATAAATTACCATTGTTCTCAGTACCACCCAGCCTAAATTGAACCACATCTGGTTATTTTTAGAAATCTGATTTTGTAAACATTTATGTACTCCTTCTTGTTGGTCTCATGTATATGTATTTTTTGCAAAGACAAATGTTGGATCATGACTAATGAATCGATTTAGAAGAAGTTTTTGGCATTTGTGACTGGGTTTTGAGAAGTCTTTTTTGGAGAAAAAAAATCAGAAGGGGGTGACGGGGATACAGACGGAAAAGAAAAGAAAACAAACGCTAAAGGGCTGACAGCTGCCAGTACTTTAGGGGTATTCAGAGTATGCAGGTGGTGTGTCTAGTTGTTAGGTACCGGTTACTTAGTAAGGTGTCAAAATGTGGTCCAGCTTCTCTTTCTCGTGATACGGCCATAACATGTGGTTTGTGTCCTCATGTAATTAAAAAGTTGTTATTGTGGGCTAATTTCTTTCCTTCTTTCTTCTTTTCTTTATTTTTCATCTTCTTTATTTCCACTGTCAGTAGACTCCAGCAGAAGGTCCACGTTGTTCGTCCACTTCTGGACGTTGATCGTGTTTCAGCACGGTTTTGTGTGAACATCAGTTTTGAAATTCCATTTTATTTGAATGCAAGCTGTTGGTTTCTCTCATCCTCTCAGGTAAATGCACAGACTTCCAAAGAAACTTCTATCCTTCTAATGTTGACAGGCCCGCCTCCTTACTTTTTAGGATACCGGCGAAGAGATGTAGATAGATATCCACCAGCATGGGCCCTGTTTCCCCTGTACCAACACACAAGTTTTAGCAAATCTGTATGCCTCTTTTCTTTCAATAAATTCCTTTATATGCCTACGCTTTTCTCATCATTCTTCTTTAAAAGCCAACTCTGCAGTTTCCACATAACGTCTCGCTAATCTGCAGCTTGTCCAGTCTACTGTTACCTGTTATTGTAACATCATTATAGACAGTAGTAAGGGATTGCTAGGTGTGGGCGAAGTATGGTGTGGCCTCGTGCCACGGGACCGCTACGGTAGCCATGAAGGCCACCTTGGGTCACCCTAAAACGTTCTGGCCAACGGGGCTCTGGTGAAGTTGCGACAGGCCTAGCAAGCCGGCAATGGATTTATTATCGCTACAGAAAACACAATGAGATATAAACGGACTGATCAAACGGTATCTGATCATACATGGAAAGAGAAGAAGGTCGTAGAGCAAGAGGTAGACCAAGAACAATATGGAAGGATAACATCAGAGAAGCTCTACAACAGCACGATGTGCCTACGGTCAAGGCGGCCAGAAGAGCCAGAAACAGAACCTTATATCTCCCTCGACACCCATAGCGGTAAAAGAGGAAGTGAAGAAGAAGAAGATCATAGACAGTAGAGAATGGTCAGCTGCGAGTGGCCACGGTTCTGGTCGACACTCAGCGGAAAATTGACGGACATACAATCCGCCTGCTACGGTGCCATCGAAACTGTAACTATGCTCTTGCCGCTGAAGATGGGGAAGGAACGCTTATGGTAATGCCCGAGTGCTGGGATGTAGGTTTTTAACAACTCAGCTCAAGTTAGTTTTTTTTAAGCATTAATGTGTACTTTAATTTTCAGTGACAATTAATTCTTGTAGTTTTCTTAACTTCCTCAGATTTTCACTATCCTGTGTCAAACATCACTAATGAAGTTCATTGACATCAATCAAATTTCGTTACTCATGATCCGACTCTCATCATTCAACCCAAGGATGCAGAGACCAGTCAATGAGATGTCGTGTTTATCGTTTTGTTTTCACTGTTTGTGTGATCCACCAACACAGAGATCATCCGCGTCTCTTGGCCATGCAAGCACTGCGCGTTTTGGACTCGCCAAGTGCTTGCCTTTCTATGTCAGAAGGATAGCGTCCTTTGAATCTGTGCTCAACGGTGAAACAAAGACCTGTGTTATTTCGCCATCGGAAGAATTTCTTCTGCAGAAATTCTGCCAGTTTAAGCCAGACATAGCCACGTTTGCAATAAATGGCTCGCCTCATTTACAGCTGAGGACGTGATTTAAGATAAATCCAAATATCTTGTAGTTTCTACAGGAATCAGTATATAATTAACAGGGCGGTCGTAGCAGTTCAGTAGCTAAACGCTTGTTGGCGACTAGATGGTCTTGTATTTAAATCCTCATTTTTATAAATAACCATTGTTTCAAGTAAAGACTTTCCGCCAGAGTTTACAGTTGATCAGAGTTAAGAAAGTGTAAAGTTTGAGGTTTAAACAACAGATCAACATCATGGCACAAGGATAGTTACCCAAAAGTGCTCCGTTCTACTTCTTACTCAAGTCCGAGTCAGAAGGTTCTCAGCACAGTGCACGAACAGCACCTGCGAGGATCCTGAAATACTTTAGGTAGATTTTTTAACTCCAAGTTTTGCTCGGACAGCGCCGTTAGGCTGCTCTCTGCGATTTCCAACTGGCAAGGAATTTTTTGTTTAACGTGCACAACAATACACACGGGCGTCCAATCTTACTACCTAAAGACCAGGGGAAATTACCTGAAGTCCGCGTGAAAAAATCCCAGCCTTCACCGGGGTTTGAACCAGGGACCTCCAGCACTCGAGGCGGATGCCATACCCTGGGACCACTCACATAATAATAAAAAGCCAATAATAAATAAAAAAAGATGATCATATATTTGAAGCAACAACTTAAGAAGGGAACTTTTATTCGTGCTTGGGGAGGAAAACTGGGTGGAGAGAGCAGCCTATATTTCTTACAAATGTAAGCCCGAGGAGTGGAAAACAGAGCCACTATAAAATGTATGTGGTGAGTGAGGTGAAAGGTGGTCTTCCCGAAACCTAAGCTCCCGCGAATTCAAGGTCCTGTTTCCTCCACGCCTTTAGGCGTGTTGGGGATATATGGCTGGACTTATATTTTTATAGACCAATTGGCACTTGATGGATGTTGTGGTTAACATCACGCCGGCCGCTTTTACTTCCCAGGACTGCACCTGGTACCCATTCAGGGCTGGGTCGACCTGGGAGTCAAGGTCATTTTTGAAACAAAAAAAGTCCGACTCCAGGACTCGAACTCACGACCTTTCGATCCGTACTCGGGCGTCCAGCCGCCAACGCAAATCTTCAATGTTAATTCCTTCATACACTGACAAACCTTGTTCTAGCCACGCAGTTGCTAGTCGTGTTGGCAATGAAGGCATGTGTAGTCGAGAATCTGAACACGGATAAAGGTTAAATGTTAATAATAAATGACAAACTGGCACATTGACAGGCAAACCTGAGAACTAAGGATTCTATAAATAATGGACACTATAATCGGCGATTGGCTCGCCGGTAGATGACTTCGGCCTTCGGTCGGGACAGTATTTAGGTCTGCCTTCTTTGACCGCATCGACACCGCAGCAGTCACTTTTAGGTCTCATGTGAAAGGCTAAGCCATTTAATACGGCGCACATAACCTTGTCACATTTATAACCCAAGGCTCTCCCTTCGTGGATGCTGGTTGAATGTGACGATTTTTTTTCTCCAGCAAATTACCTACCAAACCAAGAAGACTTTCACGGGGTGTCCTGACAAGGAACTCTCCTTGTCGGCAAAGAAACCAAATTACCCACTAAGAAAGAACAGCGGATACATAACTTCTTGGAAATCAACGTTGACATGTGACAAGAATTCAATAGGTATTTTAAAAATCACCATCAGATAAGCGTCCTCTGACAATAAAACCTAATGATACACAAAATCATAACAAGTACGGTACAATAAAGATATAAATTATAAGCAAAAGTGCTTGAATATTCATTTTATTTCTTTAACTGCTAATTTTTGCGTTGTGAAGAGAAACCAGAGTTGATTTATGACAAGTTAGATATTGTGAGGGCCCTTTGGGAGGGAATGAACAATGCGGAGGTGCAGATAGATCATTACGGTATGAGCAGAATGACGCTGCGAGGAGTAACCAGGGGATCTGGTCGACGCTCGACACTCAGAGGAAGAATGAGACGGATATACAATCAGACGGTTACTGGTACCATCGGAATTGGAACTCTTCGCTTGCTGCTGAAGATGGGGACTGAGCACTTATGGGAGTGTCCCGAGTGCTGTGATGTCGATTCTTAATTCAACATATAACATTCAACGCTGCTCGCATCGATGATGAACTGCAATTGTAGTGGTAGATTGTGTTGGCCCTTCTGATGGAGGTCTAAGGCATTAAATGTGTGTCTATGCTACTGGCTGTATCTAGAATGCAGTCTGTTTCAATTTTGTTTTCAAAGGACAGCGATAGGCCACAACCAACTCCAGCTGACATAATGTGCTGCTGACGTCACCGGGTCGGGCTAATGATGAGTTAGCGCAGCCGTTCTCAAACTCGGTGCTAAGGCACCATGGGGTGCTACGAGCGTATGCCAGGGGTACCGCGGTAATAATCAAGAAAAGTCGACTAACAATTATAAAATTATTAAACAAGGCATGCAGATACTTAAATGTTAAAATTTAAGTTGTCTTC